TCAAATTTAATTTACCCCCCACGATAAGAATACAAAAAAAAAAATAAAAAAATAAAAAAAAAATTAGAAGAAAAACTCAAACCTTCGACAAGAATCTTAAACATTCAGCTTCGGATGTACAATACGCTACATAAGCAAGTAAAGCCTTTCTTGTTGCTTACTAACTTTTCAGTGTGCCATATGACAATATATCGATCAACAAGTCCTAGAGCAGACAGGTAAATACTCTAAGTTGAAAAAATGCCAAACCTTTAAAGGATGCCTACTCGTCGGGCTTCATGGTAATTCGATCATTTCTTTACAACTTCTAATGATCTTAGCGACATGACTTTCATTGCGTCAGAATTGTTGTGTGGAAAACAGTAGCATTCAATTTTAACACTGACTTATAACGACTCTTCTACATCGAGAGACAACAATTTGTCAGTGATTTTTTTTGGTGATTTTCGATGAGCCCCTACGTATGCCAATAATGGTGAATGCGTTGAACGCTCAAAATGAATCATTCTACAGGAAGGAATGAAAAATATTCTTGAAATTATTCCTGTTAATGGAAAAGAGAAGTTGCATCAGAGTGCTGACATCGTGCAGGTATCCAGAGGCAGTATTTTTACTATTTTGTCTGAAAATTTTGGCATGTCTAAGGTGTTTTCCAAATAGGTATCGCATTTACTCGCTGCGAAAGAAGAATGCTTTTCTCTTGACTAGCTGTGGATATTGTTGACCGATGAAGAGTTTAAATAAATTTTCATTTTTATTAACAATATTTTCAGGTTTCCAAAGCAATTGCAAACGTTATAGGCAAACCACGTTCATCATACAATTTGGCCGGCCGGTGAACATTATTCCAAATCGGTTTGATTGATGATTACCAGTTCGCACAACGGAAAAAAAGCATTTCAAGAAAATATTAGAGAGTTTCTGAAGCATGTGATTATTTGGATTGATACTGTTATGCAGTTCCTAGCCCTCCATTTCACGAATCGTGGCATATTCTCTGGTTCGTAGCACTATACCGTGTTTGCGTAAGACGTTGTTCGCTAAATACCTGGCAGTTGATATTTGCAGATTTCTTCGCATTAACCGATGATATTAGGGGACGTTTCACTCGTCTTTTGGCAGAATCTGCCTAAATCTGTATGGTTTTCAGAGATGGCCATGTTTTGCAGGTGACATCTGAGGAAATTGTGATCGGTGACCAAGCGTAGCCCGCTCGAGAGTTGGCTTTCCTTGCAACAGCAATCCGATTTGTTCGACAGGTTCTAGACCTGTCAGCATCGCTCGGGTTACCCTGCCGGCTAAGCCGTCAGCTTTTTTAATGCATTTAATAAGCATATGGCCAAGTATCCATATTAGGTGCACGTCATTGCGCGCCCAAACACGACTAAAAGCCAAGTATGTCTTTGAATTTCATTGATGCATATATAAAAAGCATGATGTATATAAAAAAGTTTCAAACAACCGTAGTTAGGGTAGTTGAATGCTCAAATTGTTTTTGATTTTTATGAAATAAGTAAAGAATATTTACTGCATTTAGTTCAGTTCCATTCTAACATACTGCGCAGTATTGGATATGAACACTCTTACTTACAGCTCATGTATAGTGTGTATAATAAAAGGCAAGTGTGGTCAAATGAGTCTAATTCGATACAATGGAAAACATACTACGACATTATTTTTCAAAAGACAAGAAAGACTTTAACCTTTGATAATTCACTCTTGTTCACTATACATAGTATGTACTCGAATGAATAACGTGGTAGTAATAATGCAATAATGCAATATGTAAAACTGACCTTCACCATTTTACCCTCTTTAGTAGTAGTAGTAGCGAAAATGTTCAAAAGAACTTGACAGTGTAAAGTAACAGCAATGATCGGTTCATCAATCGCCACCGATTTGCCGTCACGTCTACGTTGAGGCAAGCGTCTCTACCCGCTATATTCCATCCAGTTAACCGTATCGTTAACTGCTGTTACGCCCAATGTCAGGCTTTGCCAAGCACTACATATATCATTGCAATGGTATCATCGTGAGTTTGTCAGCCGCTAACCCTAAAATAAGATTTATTCGTTTAATCGTTCGCTAACAAAAAGTATCCCATCATTTGGTATTACAAAGTGCCCCTATTCACATATGATTGCTTTTCACATTTAATTATACGCAATATGGTCAAGAGTAGATAGTATTGTCAGTGAATTGTAAGAAATTGAGCGATTTGATCGTACAAGATAACAACTTTGCTATTTTTCATCTTGAAACTCATTTAAATCTCTTAAGGAATATGCAATGTTGCGGTCGTAGAGCTCCGTAGGGTAGCGAAAGAGAATTTTATTATCTTTAGCTCTTTTTGAAACCGTTTCATTTAATATTTATTCATCGGAATAACCTTTCATGTAAGAATACGTCGTAAAGATTATTTTTGCTAACTTTTCTTGTTTCTATGTTAACTATAAAAAGAAAAGTTTTGTTTTGTTTTGTTTTGTTTTGTTTTGTTTTTTCACCTACAACTCTTTAAAACATATAGCAAATGAAAGGTAGTGAAAGACTGAAGTAGTAAAAGAAAACGATTTGTATCAATGTACTGAAGTGTAACTGGAGCGTTAAATAAACTTTTCAAAGCTTATCAAGCATTTGCAAAGAACGTTGCACCAATGAAAGGATTAAATAAAGAAGTAAAGTGAGTTGGGCTAAAAGAATAAGCAACAAATGGAACAAAAAAGGAAAAGTCACACTGTAAAAACTGTTAGATCGACAAAAAAGCATTTTCGGTTTTCGGTTTTCGGTTTTTGTTTATTTATTTATTTATTTTTTTTCTTTCTTTCACACAACATTTTCTGTCATGCAGAGGGTAAATTTGAAATGATTATATATAGGCAAACTTTCGCCATTCTTTTAACAAAACTCATTCATTCCGATTTCGAGCTCTCTAGAGAACTTTCGCGTCTCTTTACCAAAGCATTAGTGACCTGCAAGTTTATTATGATTGTTAAAAATTGTATTATTTGAAATGCTTCTAAGAGTTGAAAATAAATACAAAGCCGCTGGAATCATTTGAAATTGTCCATATGTGCAGAAACAATATCACTGGCCACATCCATACTTACAAAATTTTCCACAAATTACCGAAGCTGTACCAGGTCTAGCAGTACCAATGCGAAAGAAACTAACTACAATTTATTTAATATTCCTTTTAACGTTTCATTCAGTTCCATTAATTTGAACAGATTATCTGGTTTCGAAGAAAAGCTCAAAGCACATCATGCGTTCCATACAATGATTCGCCAGACGAATAGTAAAACTTCTTCTTCTATTTTATTAAGATATCCGGACATTCTTTCGAACTTTCAAAATGGATTTTAATAAAATGATCACAAGCAACTTTAGAGTTTCTATTTTAGTCATCATTGAAATGAAAGCGCTTTCAGTCTATTAACCTTCCCCTTACCCTTCTTCCTTTTCTTTTGTTAATTTTGTTTCATTCTGCCAATGAAGAGATAAGAAACTGACAGGACTTTACGAATGTTTAAATGTATGTGTATTTTTTTAATTGGATGAAAACGTCTTTATCGAACAAGTTCTGGATATAACAATTCGTGATGTCTGCCTATTGCTGATCAATTAATTTTGATATGAATTGAGAAAATTTAAACGTTTCGAACAAGACCATCATATCGTTCTCGCGATAAAGCGAAAAAAATTCAAATAATGGATGAAAGTGATGCCTGACTGAAAAGAGGGGCATCTTTAACGCCACGCCTAAAACAATTAACATTAACATTATAACTTTCATAGATCTCTTTATAAGATAAGGTTTGAAAGGGAAAGTTTCTTTGGAAAATTTATCTCAAACTTGTAATTATGACGCATTTTACTTATCGTCTAATAACAGAAACTATAATTCTTAGATATTTGTATCCAAGTAAAGCTACTTTGTCATAAAAGTATATATTTATATATATATATATATATATATTTTTTTTTTTTATTTTTTTTTTTTTGCCAACCCCGTAAAGCGTTGTGGCTTTTAATATATCTCTAGATCTAGAAATTTTTCGTTTTTGACGTACAAACACAATATAAGCTGTAAAAAATCCGAAAAAAGATTTTTTTTTTTTTTTTAATTTTTTAAAAAACTTTAAATGGTGGAAGGTCTCAAAAAGATTAATACATAAACTATAAAGTTTTAAACGTACAACAACACAAGGCTATAATTTCTGAACTTAAAGATGAAAATAACAAAAAAAAAAAAAAAAAAAAAAAATGCAGAGGAAAAACCAAAATCAATTTATGTCTTAACAAAAGCCACCGCAGTAAGTAGGTCAACAACAGGTAAAAATATTGGAATAAAAACAAAAAATGAATCTTTTTAACATACCTTCCAATTCAGTTTAGTAATCATGTGCAATAGTATAGAAACCAATTCAAAATCATCGCTAGTAATATATGACATATTTTTAGCTAACGTATGCGACTCCAGAATTTATGCACCCATTGCCTACATTTGCAATTTCATTCCCTGGTCCCTTTCTTTCTCTTTCATCATTTCCCCTCGTTCCTTACTAACGTTCTGTTTCATTCACTTTTTCATACCTTCTCGTTCTCACCCTAAGGTTATTCTTCTTCTTAGCTTGGTTCATGTATACCGATTGCATTTGCAATTTAATTTTATACTGTTTTTTTTGCAGTTCTACCTCTGTGTTTTTTTTGTGCGTTGTTGTTTCTTTTCTTTTCGCTTTACCGTTTTCTCCACATATGTTTAAAGGATTTACAGGATGCTTTTTCCACTCTTTTTCTTCTTCTTCTTTTTTCATGTTACGATTATTTAATCGCTTAGATTTGTGTGCAATCCAGCGAACTAATGCAACGGTGTATATTTAAGTAGATATTCACACAAATGCATACACGTACTCATACACACACACACACACACCACACACAGACACACGTGCGCATTCATATACACAAACGAACAGACATTTGTATACTCTCATACTTACTTAGTTAGGTATGCCCTTGTGTAAAATCGATTTTATGGATTTACCTAAAAAAGAAAGAAAAGAAAAAAGAATTCAGTCTCTTTTTTGCGTGGCATCCATTTTTCTGGTTTTTATTTTATTTTATTATTTTTTTTTTTTTTGTTCTACCTAGTTTTATTTTTATTTTTCAACAAATCGGTGCACTAAGTATGTATTTGGCTTGTCTGTTAGTTTGTACGCTTAAGAGGTATTTAAGTAAATTTAGTATTGTAAAAATACACATTTATTATTACTAATACATATATATTAGCTCATATGTACGAACATGTGTGCTTCTTGTATGTGGAATTTTCCATTTTGCCATAAAACGCTAGATTTAATATGATTAAAAAATACATCACAGACGTTTACATTTGAACAAAACTAAGTAAGTAATTTTTCTTCTAATTCAATTTGGCAAAGTTAACTTCTGAAAATCATTATTTGATTAAAAACTCGAAGCAAAAAAGCTATCAATTGCAGGATTTGCATAAGTGAAACAGAGGCCAACTAAGTTATACAATTTGCTTACTCGTCAGAGAGAGAGAGAGAGAGAGAGATTCTATTAGTTATAATGCATTCAAAACATTTTGTTCGTTAAAGCCAATTATATGTAAAATTTTTATATTTCATTGCGTAGGTAACGTTGCGTATGAGTAATATTTAACTGGCTTAAAATAAATATACGTATAACGAGATAATTATTATTTAGCCTAAAAGACGTTTAAGGTAATACGACGATAAGATAAGAATAGTTTTTTTTTTTTTTTAAAAGTCAGCCTTTCTGAGCATAGCATTAAATGAATAAAATAATCATAAGAATAAAAAATATATGCAAGGGTATGTGTATATGTGCCTTGAATTTAGCATATATAGTAAAGTGGAACGTTTATATTCGACAATTTGCTCGCGTTCGAAGGAATTTGAGCGATAATCATACTTCCAAGCGATCAACAATTTTTACAAGAAAATTAATCGTCAGAGAGAGTATCTTATCTTTGCGTTTCATATCAAGATTTATTGTGAATGGAGTGTGGAAGAGCATCACGGGATGTTATACCTCAAAAGCATAGCTACGCGAATTACAAAACGCATTCAATGGAGCCGCTTGTTCGATGTTAAACAACGAGAATGCGGACAAAAAATCGACCAAATTCATAACCAAAAAAGCTGAATGTGTACTCTGAGAATGTTGATAGCGTTGCAAGTTGTAGTTTGTCTAAGGAATGCTGAAAGAGGTCAATTGTCACTACCATTATGCAAAAGTGTTCTCTCAAAAATTCAACAGAATAAGAACGATAGACAGACATTATTCTTTCTTATTTCATGCTCTGTTTAAATGTTTACTTTTCTGCCTTTCGTAGTGAGAGAAGATCCACTAAACGAACCGAAGCCACTAACTCAATTAATCTATGAAAAAAATACGGAAGTTTGGTTCGAACACCGCAGCACCTTTCTTGTCAATAACGTATTTGGAAGAGGGTTAAATAAATTTTGCTTAAAGAATTATTATTAGGTGCACTCACTATGCCATGTAGATAGATAGCTATATATATTTTTGATCAGCATCAAATTTTAAGGATGGATGCAAATATGAGAGATACATATATTTTCGGCGGGTCCATCAATTTAATAAACGAATTTTCTCGTGTTTTAGATCTTAAAGGGTTGAGGCAACTATTTAATCCATACTGGTTGATAAATCACAACTAAGAGTGCGACCGGAGTTTTCTTTAAATGCTTGCACTTAATGTGGCAACTCTTCGGAGTATATAAAGCTATGATTAAATTTAGTAATAATTTTACGGAAATATTTTCCCACAAAAGATCGAATGGATAGAATATAAACTAACACTAAGTGAACAATGAAGAGATTACGAAAAGTGACTATCAGAATGTAAGCAACATTTAGAAGTAAAATTGGAAGGTAAGGTATTTTTCCCGCACTTTAATGGACCATAACTGTAAAGTCTAACCTTCGGCAATAGTTTTTTTTTGTTTTTTGTGCACAAGCACACAAGATCACGACTGACTGTACTGTTATGGGCATTACAAGTTTGTTTACTCCAACTGCTTTCGCGTCATGTATAGATGCTCTCATCAGCAAAAAAAAAAAAACCTCTATGGGACGCTGTCTTTATGCTCTTATTTACATTGGTTATGTAGTTTGCTTGTTTACATTATCCTTAGTATACTTGACCAATTGTGTTGCACACGTTCGCCTAGTCTCGGTTGCGTATATTAGTGGTTTTTGTTATATGTGTTTAAAGTGAAAACATTTTCTATATGCAGATTGACTGATGATTGCTCTGGCAAGCATCATATGATTTAATTTTTTTTTAAATTTTTTTTTCTTATATAAAGTAAAAAAAAAAATTAATAATAATTTTCCTTGGCCCATTAAATCCCATACTTAGTGCAGGACGCACTGACCATTCTTCTGACTTGCCAAATCGATGAAATCACCAATCACTCAGCGAAGAAAGTGAGGGAAACGTAGCCTCCTGGATTTGAATCCACGAGCACTAACTTAATAGTCACGATTTTTATCCAATCTTCTACTTCTGCGTAGTTGGCAGTAAATAGCGAGTTCAAATGTAATTTTTGTACGATCGATTTCCGACGTCTGACGGTTGGCCAAGTAGCCACGATTCTAAAACAGAGTTTCCGATACGTGGTAATTCGCGGAACATCCATGTCTCATTCAACACTAGTAGATTGTCAAAAAAATCGTCGGCCTTAGCACAGTATACGCCTGAAATCGATTAAAGATCATCAACTCTTTTCCTCTGTTAGTCATCGCACAGCAACTAGGGCATCCACTTTGTTCACTTTTCGCTTTATTACTCGCGTTTATTTTTACAAACTTCTGCACGGAAGCACAAATGAGGTGAATATCTCTCTTGGAAAAAACTGTTGTTCAATTTAAATTTTTTACGTTGTTTGGCTTTGCACACTTGTACTTGTCATTCGAGCTACACATTATATATTTATATAAAAAGAGAGGTCAGCAGCAAAAGTGACGTGGTGGTCCACCTTATACAGTCCACATTTTTGGTTTTTTTAGTTATAAGCCTCGGTTTTTTCTTTTAATTTCATATTGCTCTCGTATTGGAGTGACCGTCAATGTTTACTTTACTCTCTGCTTGTATATTTGTTGTTGCTTAATACTCACCTTCTTGCCTTTTTCATGTTTAATAGCTCGGTATATAATTAATCCTTTTGTTTTTACCCAAATTCGTTGACCTTACATTTTCTCGTCCAGCCTCTGCCATTTTATGTATGAGCTAACTATATAGGCTTTTATAAATATAAAAGACAGCATACTTTTAGTCATTTTTTTCTTCTTTTTTTTTTTTTTTTTTTTTTAAGTAAACATATTTAAGCACATGGTACGGTGTGCTGTGTGGTGCATAGTTGAAAACCCGCGTGCATACGTCCCTTTTCATGCTCTATATAAATATTATATGAAACCCGTTCTCTTAACTGAAAGCAAAATTGTTTGTTGCTTTATCAAATATTTTATACAGATTTAACTTTTAAAATATTCTTACATATCACAGGCCATTAGATGTAAAATTTTAAGCAAGTTAATTAAAAAGTGTCAACTAGACTAACAAATATTTGCTTATGGAAAATAGGAGGGAGAGAAAGCGAAGAAATGAATTTTCCTATGAATATGATGATAATATTATATGTGAAATAATCCTTTTTATTGAATATTTTTTGCGAATACCTTTGGGCGTCCATGTGTTAGATAAAAATAAATACATTTCAACATGAATTTTATTTAAATTTTTTTGTTTTTTCTTTCGTGAAAAAATTTTTAAATATTTAATATGCAATAAATATTAGTAACAACCATTAAAAAACGAATCACGATAAGCGCTAATAACGCAAGAACTAGCGAAACGAAAAAAAAAAAAAAGAAGCCAAAATAAACAAGTACATTACAGTCGGGCTAGGCTGACTGTTCCATACCCTACACCATCACCACATTGTCTACCATAATTCTTCTTTTTGCCATAGAACACAAAAATCACACTCTGCTCTTATATTACGAACTTACTATTATGAAACTGTATATTACAAATTACATTCCAATGCAAATGGAGGCGTGCTTTCCGTAAGAATCGCTGTGGTCAAAAATTAAGGTACATGTTCAAAATCCAGCACAGTTAACTTTTTTATAAAATTACAATTTTTTTCATCTTGACATAATAAAACTTGTCTTTATGTTATTTAGTTAAAACTTGGTATGAAAAAGTTTTTGTTCCTATGTCATAAATGATGTTGAAAAAGCTAAAATTTGCTTAGCTACTGGGGACACACCATGCTTTGTGAAAAAAATTGAGACTTGTACGACGTGAATCCTCTATTCACGTCGCGACTTTCCAACGATTAGCAGGTTATATTAAGTTTTTCTCGGAAAATTTTCTTATGCCGTACTTAATATAGGCTAATGTATGTATAAGCATTTAAGTTTGAAAGGTCACTGTGCCCTGTGAAAAAATGAAACTGGTTTTGCGATACTCTGTTAACACCTAATAATAATAGTGATAATCGAATATACGCAATTCAATTGTTAAATCGTTGAATGGTTCAATTCAATTACTATTACCATACAATTCGCAGAAAGGGAATAAAGCGGCATTGTCGTGGCCGAATCTGGTGGAGCTATTGACGAAAGCAACCACGACCATTAACCATCTAAATTACTCAGTGTAGACTGGTCCCATCGCCTCTGCCATGCGTACTTGCTGGCTTCCGCGATACGCTTACTTTCTTCAGCCGTGAGCCTACTTCCAAGCCGCCCTCTTCTGTGCTATAGCTTTGTTAATCGATCATATTATCATCATCTGCTGATAGCAAGCTTGGTGTGATGCATATTGCATCAAGTGGCATTGTGCGAACCACAAGCCACACTTTTACTGCTGTTGTTCGCATTAACTTGTCAGCAATTACGACTTGCGCAAACAACCTTCTACTTTGTCTTGGCCTTCCGATATTTGCCATCATCCGGGCA